AAAAACTAGAAATAATAATTCCAGAAAGAAAACATTTCGACCGTTAGTTTCCATTATTTTTAGATGGAACACCTACTCGCATCCATCTTTAAGATGGATGCTTTACACTTTTTGGACGGCATATGTAGAAATGCGGTCCAGCCCGCATGAAACAATTTTCCTTTACTTATTCCTTGATAGAGTGAATTAAGGTCAAGGCGATTTGTCTGCTTATAGAAGACTACCTTAAAAGCTATCTGTGGCTTTTAAGTTACTATATATATATGGGTATGTATGTATTCTTATCTCTAAGGATTTACTTATTCCTTAATAGAGTGAATTAAGGTCAATGTGATTTGTCTGCTTATAAAAGACTACCTTAAAAGCTATCTGTGGCTTTTAAGGTGCAAAATATATAGGCATGTAAGAAGAGAGGTAATGACACTTTCCCATTGAAATTTTTGAGGTCATCTGAAATCACCACAGCTGAACAAATGGCATGTGGAATGTGCTATGGAAGATGCAGTGGCCAATTATAGATCAATAAGTATCTGAACATCCAACCCAATCAGAACCAGCATTGTAGTCTGCTTAACTTTAGTCCTGGACAAATTTAGAGGAGAATGTTCAATTTTTGGTGCCCAAGAAGTATCACAACCTATCCATATCCTTTACGTGAGAAGGAATCTAGAGTTCCTTATTGAGCATGGATAGAGTGCCAATTAATAATGAATGATACCTATACATACCATAACAGTTTTTTCTTTTTTGTCTTAATAAGGAGCCTTTTTCACTACTTTTTCTTTATGCTTCTTTCTGGGTTCTTCTTTTAGTCTGCAACTATCTTGTTCAATCATCTCTTTATCATTGTGGAAAGCAAAAAATTTCTTTATTGCATATGCTGGCTTGAGTTACTTCCATGGTATCATACATTAAATTAACATTTTGTTATTTTTGTCCTCTGAATTTTTATAGAAAGTTTTGGTATCACACTACTAATTTATATTGTATTCCTTAGCAAATATCACATACATTCATTTTCGTGGTCCAATGAATTAAGAGATCGTGTTTCCTAAAGTTTTCGAGTTAATTTTGGCTTATTTTGGACATCTTTATTGCTGCATGTGTAGAGCATGTTGAATTCATTAGTGTTGCCCTTTAGTTTCTGTTTTGGATACAGTGAATTACATTGTCTTGAAGTGTTCCAATATGCCTACATGAGATTGTCTGAAATGTTTCTTAATTTGTTTTATACAGCATTAGTGCTTATTATTGGATTGACCGGGCATATAAACCATTGTCATCTGCGATAAGTAATAGGTAAATACTAGTTCTACCACTTATTTCCTTCAAACTTGATCTCAATGAAGTCTAAAAATACTATATCTCCTTGATAGTATTTTCTAATCTTTGTTTATTTTCACTTGTTTACTTATTTGATGTTAAAGGCACACATAAATTAAATGACTTATTTCACGCGTTTGTTAGTTTTTGTCATGGTGATCTACTGATCATATGTTGAATTAGTGAGTTGTGATGCATTTTAGGGACCTGACAATCATTGTTCTCATCTTTTATACTTGGAAGACCAAATTGCATGTAATTGTCGACTGAAAATTCTTTCAACTTAACTGGTGGTAGGTACTGATTGGGGTTTTAATATTTCATCATCTTTGAAGTTGATATCAGATCTTTCACTTTGTTATTTACTCTCTCTACCTTACATGATTCAGGCCTTCTTGGATCCTCACGGACTCTATTGATGCACTCTATATTTTTCTTAGGGTTATTTCTTTAATTTCTTTTTGGGACTTTTATTATCTACATTTACCATTGGTTGTTCTTTGTAGGAAACCCTTCTCTCTTCAATCTATAACAGAAGCGGTTGTTCAAGAACTACGACAACTTTTACAGTTCCACCCCATGCTAGTATTGGCCACAAAACCAGCTCTACTAGGACTGGAGTTTTCAGCATGCCACATTACGAGGTTGGCTATGAGTCCCATTTTATCACTTCAACAAAAATAAATCAAAAGTATTTTTCCTCCCAGTTTTGGAATGTTTCATGGTGCATTATTTCTAGTTTCTGACCTGTTCATTGCCATAATGTAAAAGTGAGAAGTCAAAGAAGGAAAGGATAAACCATAAAGAAAAATTTGACAGAAATCTGAACTTAAAAAGAGCTACAAATATAGCAAACGATACGTGACTGCTAGAATTTTAATACAAGATAAGAGGCTGAAAGAAAGGAGTAATAACTATTTGTGATGGCAGTTGTGCTAATAAAAATTGTACATGTATTTGTGCTCAAGCATTCACATGGGATTTTAGGGCATTTGTGATATTTGAAAGCAATGAAAAATTGGTCATTCTTTAAAAAATGTCATTAAAATTGCACATACCTTGTCATATAAATGTCCAAAGTACTTCCTTTTTTTTTTTGTAATGCTGAAAGGCAATTTGCTCCTAAAAATTTTAAAATCTTATATGAAACTTCTTTTGGCTTGTGTATGATATTGGTGACCTATATTAGAATCCATGGTACAAGGACCCAGATGTGAAAATCCGTGTCTGACATGGATTTGAAAAATCTGATTCACCTACATGTATTTTGCCAAGTCCAGTATGGCACATCTGTACAAATCCATACAGTGTATTCATGGATATATATTCATGTATAAAATTGATTTGTGACTTTCAATAATAAAACTTAACTGAAAGCATGCACGTCTGCTTATAAAATGGACATGTGTGTCTTACAATGAGGAAACAGATTGCTTACGAAATGGATACATGAGTCTTGTTTGTCCAATTTGTGAAGTCAAGTGTCCGCATAGCAGACACGGCATGTCTGCGAAACCAAGAAAAAAAACTTCTAGACATGCCTAATGACACAGATTTCCCATGCTGTCCGTCTATTGCTTATCAACATACATATTTAGTGTTTTGGCAATGTCGGATTCTCCTAAATGCATGCAACATGCATGTAATTTTTACATAGATTGGAATCATTTGGCAAACCAACCCAAAATTGCTTAAGTTCCAAACTAAAATGCTTCCACATCAGTCAAATTTGTAGTTTTCTTAACTCATGAATGTTATCTTGCATATCTTTACTAGGGAGAGAGAGAGGTTTTTCTTTTGATGGATTCAAAACTTTTAATTTCTAGGTGTTTGATTTTACTTGCAATATAACTTGTAACTAGACTATTGCTTCTGTCTAGGAAGCTCATTTTTAGGAGAATACTGTAATGAATTCTTGCATGAATAGGAGTTTTTTAATAGTTTCTGTTAAAATTTGGGTTTGATGTAACAGGAAGCAGTCTTCTTCACCATCTGCAACAGGTATGCTTCCTTTAAGCAGAGGAGCAGAGAGATTTCTTTATCGGGAGTATATGCCTTCTGCTTGGCAGGTGATTCTTTTTCTTGTCGATATTGCTTAATATGGATTATGGGTGATATGAAACCAATTTTTCTCTGCTTTAAATGTGCTGTACATGGCTCCAATTTCTGTATTTGTTTCCCTTTCACATAATATCTGATATGTCAATTAAAATTGTTAGACTATACATATTCATGTACCATGCAATGCCCTCATTTCTATCATGTATTTATTTGTTCCTTAATGCTTGATATTGTTGTTGGGTATTGTTGTCTTTTGGCTTCAAGTTACTGGTTTATAGGACACAAGGGTTCATTATTGTGGTTTTTTATCCTGGTTTGTTAGACTTCATTGTTTCATATGAAGAGCATTACTTACTCTCTCATGTAGTCATACCACAACCCCTAACTTAAAATTCTCCATTTGTCAAGTTTGAGGTTTGTGGAGGTTTCTGTCAAATCCAAGGGCTGTCTAATTTAGTACTTTGATAAAAATTTTTAGAGCAATACTCAAATCTATTCTTGGTAGTGCAGTAAACATTTGGCATCAAAATCTAGAATAAGCCCTTGGCCTTTTAATCCAATTTGGATATTTTAATGGCAAAGGTTTCACAAATTTGGGACCAACAGGTGATAACACTGCTCATTTTGGTTCACATGCATGGTCAAAGGCCACGCTTGAATGATTTCTACGAACTATATCAGACCCTGTAGAAGTTTCATGGAGATAAGTTTTGTGAATGGAATTATGATTTTTGGCCAAATATTTCAAATTCTTGGATTTTTGGGCACATGTGGGTCGTCATGTGGGGCTGAAATGGCAAAATTCTAGAAGAGCACTGATCATGACCCTTTCCGAGAATCTTTTTGTAGTTCACTTCATGGAAAACATATTTCCTTTCACTAAGATGACCTTTAAATCCCTAAGATTGCTCAAGAAACCACCTCATATCCTGCAAAAAAACCACTCAAAACTTTTGTTTAACTGCTCATCTTTGGGCTCTCTCTAATTAGTTTAGTTGGCTTGGTCTTTTGAATTCTATACTCGCATGTGGGGTAGGATGGATTGTCTATGGAGCATTAGGGCTTGCTGCTTTTAAATAGTAATTTCCCTAGACCCCCTTGAAATCATCACACTTGGGAGCAGGTGCACTACAATTAGCATCAAGTCTGAATAGACAAGTTCGCCGGTTGACTTGCATTTTCAGAAACATGGATACGTCAGGGAATGAATGATGGGTATGCAGCTTGGATCATTTTATTTATATTGTTTCAGGTTTCTACTCTAGAAAGAAATGTGGATGTACTTCATGGTTAAGAGAAGGAAAAAGTTTATATAAGGTGCACCTAAAAAATCCATCAGAAATGGCTATTTTGACGTTGAAAAAACCAGCTAATTGATCATCTTGACGTCGGGATGTATAAATATGGAAAAGAAAAGATTTTCAAATCCCAAAAATAATACATCTTGCAACATATTATCTGGACCGTCCATTGTCAAGATTTTCATGCGTTTATAGATTTGCTTGATTTGAATAATTTTGGAGTTTAAAAATTTATAATTAGAGATGAAAATAGATTTTTGGGCCATCCTAAATTTTTCGATACTAGAATTGCATCTTATGACAAAGTTTGGAGGTGCGCCTTACTTTTGATGTTTTAAGTTTGCAACCATATGCAAACCTCACCCTTAAGAGAAAGGGTTAATTTTTAAAGCTTTGTAGAAACACATTAAAGGTCTCTTTTCTTTAAGTCAATAGATTAAGAGTTTCCTTCTCATCTCATTGTATTTTGTTTTTCTGTTAATTAGCAATATTATGAATACCATAAAATGACACCTTTACTTCTTTGTTCTTCATGCAGTCATTTGTTTCACACAGGATACACTTAAGAATTTCAGGTTTGTGCTCACTCAAGTACCAAATAATGCCAAACTTGTCATACGTTCGTTAGATAGTGATCATGGTGAAGATAGATTATGTATTTCCATACCATTATATTTTGGTTATTCTCCTGAAAAAAATTTTGTTTATTATCCATAAAATGGTTAGATTTCTTAAACTTGCAATGGACCTGCAGATGAAACTTTTGCCGATGCTGAAAATAGATATCTTCCCATTTATATAACAGAATGGGAATTGCCGCCCCTGAGTTACTCGGATAAGTTTACTGTGAGAGATGTATGGTGTTGAAACTGTTTTTGATCTTCCTGTTCAGTTCCCTTGTGTGTTTCTGTGATTTTCAGTAGTTCTTTGTTCTTAATTTTCTTGTAATATTGTCTCTGCAGGAAGGTATATTTTTGGTCGTCTAAAGTTGAATTGCATAATCTACAACCAATTTACTCAATTTTCGGTGCATTGTTTTTGGCATTCTGGTTTGGATCAGGTTGGTAAGGCATTTAATTAAATTTCTGAACTTGAATTCTTTTCTTGTATGGTTGATTTTCTACTTTGTTTATAGCAGGGATTTGTTATTTTTGTTTATCTATTATTTCATTCCCATGGATATATACAGACAAAAAACAGACACATACGACACACACAACATATGTATGAATTAACATACATAAATCCATGTATACTTGCCATTTCCCAGTAATGGAAGCATAACCTGGTTTTTTTTGTTGGATACTTGTAAATTGTGCCTGAGCATCTCATGATTTCCAGGCTGAACTGTGGAATTTGAATGGCCAGAGTTACACTGTATCAGTGTGAACAAATAAAGCGTAGCCTTTGATCTATAAAAACTAAAATTTCAGATCATTGACAAACTACAGCGATTTCTGATCAATTTGTTTTCTGACCTCATTTTGTGTTGTCATAACACTATATGCAAGTTTTCCACCATCAAATATCAAAAAGGAAAGTTTGGTTTATGCCCATTGTACTGCTCTTCTTCCTTTGTATATTTAATAATGTGGATAACTTTTTGCCAAACTTAGGGTGGGTATTAGATAATAAAATTAACATGTTACACTGACGATATGGAAAATTTGAGATCGAACAGGGAGCACTCAATGGCTGTCTTTGATTATATGCCCTACCCCAGCCTGGACAGTCCTGCGAGGGGCATTGCCTTGCTCTCTTGCCCATTTTGCACGACCTTCTCTCGCTATGGAAATGTTTTATTCTCTACCTTCTGTCTAGCCGCTATTTTGTGAGGCTGAACTTATTTTTTTGGCATTTGGTTGGCCTTTTGGTGCTCGTTGTACATACAGTCAACAACGATGTAACACACACCTGTTATATTAATATTATAGAGTCAGTAAAAAAGATTGAGATTTTTTATTGGTGGCAGTGATTGGGCTAACTGGCCTTATTTTATATGTTAAGATGAGATTTATACTGCTCAGCAGCTGGGTTGAGCTTGTAAAATATTCAGGTAAATGATATACGTACAGAGAAAGCACACTTGAGCTGCTAACTGTGGATTTATCTCATGATATCAAATGATTAGTTAATATAATATCTTGTTTTAATCATTTAACGATTGCATGCAATGCAAACGTGATAAGAATTCAGAGTATCCTAGGCTGAGATTTGGATGACATGGGCCTTGCTTACAGAGCTTAATGTTTGGACGTGCCTTTGGAATGTATCTCCCATCTTGAAGACACTCCCACGTAGCACTCTATTTAAATGGAGCATGAGCAGATCCAACTAGAATAGGAAGTCATGAACCCTAGCAGCAAAGAAAAACATTTGGTTGCATGACTCGTTCTTAAAGCTATATAGATGGGAAGAAGTATTACTTCTACGCACTTCCTCAACTTTAAGTGCTGCTGTAACATTTTTTTCATTTTCATTATTGCTGCCATTGATGAAATTTGACTGATTTTATTGTATACAATTTATGATTTTATATTATACTGTTATGCTTCAAGTTTTGCATTTTATGCAATGCAATAATAGAGTATTAAGATTTGCAATGATACCAAGATATGTAGTAGATGTCAAAATAGCTAAGTAAATTTAATTGAATATTAGTGTCTAGAAACTATAAAAATTTATATCTAATATCAATAAGGGTCTTGAGGTATCGAAAGTGTCCAAGTGTCGCTAAGGTATTGGAAACTGAGAAGAAAAACAAATGCAAAGTTGTGGTACCACCAATCATCGTTCTTAAAGTTTAAAAACAAAATTGTTTTCTGTATGTCTCAAGATCCAGTCAATAGATGATGAAATGTGGATTGATTGGTTTCTCGGGGAATTTGTGAGGAGACAATGAACATGTTTCATTGTTTTCTTGTTCTTGCCTTGGTAGATATGCAGGAACTTGAAACCAAAAGTCTATATTCTCAAAAGCTTTTCCTTTCCATTCAACTTAGTCCATGTCATATTTGCAGATTCTTTCCTTTATTTAGACCTCCAATTGAGACCTTCAACTTTATTTTTCTGACAATAAACAAAGTAGGAACTGAATATTGTACTCACATGGCTCAAGTTCTTTTAAGCAGCTAAAAATGTGCGTTTACTAATACTACTCCGCCCATACAGAGCCCTTGATCATAGTCCACACTCATCATAAAACATGGTCATTTGTTCTTTTACATCGGAAGAAAGATGGCTGTGTGAGTTTGAGAAGAAAATAATATTTCAATAGACATAGCCCTTCACAAACATTCCCTTCTTGGCCTCCTCGGATTCACCTTCACCTATGTACTTGCCAAGCTGAGCAAGTGAGTTGGACTTGGCACGCATGAGGAGGGCTACTTGTGCAACCTTCACATTCTCCGGCCTGCCACCCCATGTCTTGAGGCACGTGTTTTGCAAGGCACGTGCATATGAGAAAGAAACATGCCATGGGTTTGGCTGCTGGTTCATGGCATTCAAGTTCAAGGTGGCCTCCACCTCTGACTGTCCTCCTGAGAGGAACTGTTCGGACAAATCAACATAAAAGCCAAAGTTAGGAAAATGAAAAACTGTGCATAAATTGAATTCATCATCATCATCATCACAGATTTTTCCAACTATTTGGGACCGGCTATATGAATCTTAGTTCGCCATTCTGATATGTCAAGGACCATACCCTCAGTGAAGCCATAAGTCCCCATATCTTTTCTGACTTGTGGATAAATTGAACTAAAGAACTAAATTTAAGCTTCAGCGCTTCTGTGATTCAGGCTGGGCAAGAGATCACCTTGTGCTTGTGTTTCTTTTGCTTTGAAAAGAAGTTAGTGTACTTGTGCTTGTGTTTCTCTAGCATGTTTGAATGGAAATAAATATTTTAAAGTATTCGTTCTCTTCCTAGTTCTAGTTATGAGGAAGGTCGCTTTGTCTTTGGTAGAAAAAAAGAGGTTTTAAATAAAAAAGTTAATCTAACCGTATAGAAATGACTGAAAGGTGTGGCCTTTCATTTAGAAAAATAAAAGTCCCTGGTGTATGGCAAATGCCTTTTTTAACATATTTTCAATATTGCGGGACTTCCCTTTCTACTTTTTTAACCCAAAATGTTTTGGTGATGGAAGTCTTAAAAGCTTAAATAGAAAGCAAAAGGCATACTGATACTGTCTTCCTATGTTCTCTTAAAACTTGGGGAAGATTATACTTAGTGTTTTCTACTTTCTGATTTTTGGATTGTCTCCGAAGAGATTCCGAAAAAATTTTCTCTGAAAACTTATGTTGTCAAGAATTTCCCAAGAATGATACTTGGCACCATAAGAAAACATACATGTCATAAAGATGTTTTGGTAAATGCTATTGGGTGAGAAAGGCATACCATGATCCCGGGAACAGCTGGTGGGATCCTCCTCTGTAGGAACTTCAGGGTGTATTCAGCAACTTGTTCAGGGGTTGCCTTCTCTTTGCACTCGGCTCCAGGTGTAACCATGCTAGGCTTCAAGAGAATACCTTCAAACAGAACACTGTTTTCAGCCAAGTAAAAGAACACCTCTGCCCAGACCTTCAGTGCAACCTCGAATGTCCTGTCGATCCCGTGGTCTCCATCCAACAAAATCTCAGGCTCAACAATTGGAACCAAACCATTGTCCTACAAGTATGTCAAGAAACTCTATGATTCTACCATCTTCCCTTTTCCATTTGAAATTGACAATTGCTTGTGAGTGGAAAAGCAAGAAGGGAAATGAAGAGGATTTGTTATTTACTTGTGCAATTGCGGCGTATCGGGCCAAGCCCCATGCAGCTTCCTTCACTGCAAGAGCAGATGGTCCGTTGGGAATGCTAACCACTGTACGCCTGCAAGTGTTGAAGGTAAGAGAAAATAGTTTTAAAGGAAGGAAATGGCAAGCAACGTCATAGATCTCTTACTAGAGGATCCCTTGACAAGGTAAATTCTCATAAAATTTAGAGAGGTTAAATTTTCTCATAAAATTATTGAGAAAATATAGCTAAAAAGAAAAAAAATTAAAAAAATAGAAAATATAGAAAGGGAAGATAAAAATCAACTTTTTTATATTTATTGCATTCTAAGTGCCCCTATGTTTCGAATTTTCTTCTACTTTGTATGAGTCTAAAGATGCATACTCAACTCTTATGTCTTTTGTAAACATTTACTCACAAACATAAATTTGTTTCTTATTAGTACTGGATAACACAAAAAGAAAAAGGTTGCAGTATTAGCAAATTTTCATTTTTGCAATTCTGTATGTCTCGAAAGAAGAACACAAAGGCTTTTCACTATATCATGTAACCACCAAAAAATTAGTCGAGGCGGATTTCACCATTTAGCGAAGCGAGCACCCTGCTGATAGTAGGCTGCACACCGCGATGCCAATCCATCGAGCCCTTGGCACCATGACTCGTTGTTTGAACCAGCTAGGGGCACAAGACCCTAAGCCACACCAAGTTCATACTCACCATGTCAAAAGAAATCAAAGCTATTCATGCCTACAAAACCAAAACCTTCAATTTACACAAGAAAGGAAATGTTTTGATCTCACCTTGTCAACCTTGATACCAGGCATGATGTTTTGTTCGACGAGGACATCAACCATTTTCTTGCCATCGACAGTCGATTGGTAGAGAGTTTCCTCGAAGAGGATTGCACCAGAGATGTATTGGCCGATGCCAGGGACAGAGACGAGGAGAGTTCGGTATGCTTGACGGTTGGCTTCAGTGTTTTCTAGCCCGATGGATGCAAGCCTCTTTCCACATGTGGCGTTGGACTCGTCCATGGCAAGGATGCCCCTCCCCGGGGAAGCAACAGTTTTCTGCAGAAGTTAAGTGACAAATGGTGACTTGCATGAAGAGATTGGAGGAATGCTCTCTCCATCTTTTATCTGTGGTCATTGCTTATGTGTGCGCGCATGAGAGAGAGAGAGAGAGAGAAAGAGAGAGAGAGACTTATGGTGTTTTAATAAGATGAGAGAGAGAGAGAGACTCACAGCAGTCTTGACAAGCTCATCAGCATAGGCGCTAGCTTTCACAGTGAAGGAGACAGTAGTCGGGTGGCCATGGAAGGAGGCAGAGGAAGGGGGCCTCACAGACTGCCCAAACAGCTCAGACCGGTTCAAGAGAGCCGGTGACTTGAGGAGTGAGGCTGCCATTGACAGATAGATAGCACGCTCTACACTACCAAGCCTTGCTAGCAACTAAGCAAACTGGCTTAGCTTAGTTTTAGGTGTAGGTGGGCTCTAGTTTGTTGGGCTCAAGCTGGGTGGTAGTGTTGAGGTGGTTTATAATGGGGTGGAGATATGGCATGTGAGGTGGAGGTTGAATTTGGGTGATGATAGGCATGTGATGGCCTCTCACCTGTTAGTCACCGTGGGCCGATCATTTCTTCTTTCTCTGTCTTCTTGTCTTCCTGCCCTTTGAACCCCATTAATTGATTACTTCATTTATTTTTCTCCAATTTTGATCTCTCTCTCTCTTCATGTCTGATTGAAATGAAATGGTCCTTTATTTGTGACAAGGAGTTCAGCATTTGGCCCCTTCTAATTGCAGCCATGAAAAGTAATCTAGATTTCACTAGAGGTGGTGTTTTGATTAAAATGTTTTTCTTTCCTTTATTGGGTTTAATAATTTCAAAGTATTCGTGCTATATATATATATATATATGTGGTGTGATTTATATAAGGTTGCAATCTTGAACAATCCAATTAAGGCGCACCTCCAAATTTTATCATAACATTATTTTAGTATAAAAAATTCTTAGGATTATCTGAAAATCTATTTTTATCCTTAATTATAAAATTTTAAGCTTAAAAAATGGTTGAAATTAAGTAGATCTATAAACATATGAAAATATTGAAAGTGGATGGTCTAGATAATTTGTTGCAAGATGTACTATTTCAAGGACTCAAAATCTTTTTCTCTTTTCATATTCATACATCTCGATGTCGAGATTACCTATTAGAGGGTTTCTCAATATTAAAACAGTTTTTACAATTGGATTTTTGAGATACATATTTAATTCTATATTTTGACAGCCTTATATAAATTTTCTCTCTATATATATATGGGAAAAGTTTATATAGAGCCAAGGTTCTAAACAATCAAATTTGAGCCTACCTCAAAAAGTTCATTAGAAGAGAATGTTTTGATGCCCAAATATCT